AGAAAGGAACCCTCTCTACCATAAAAAGAATAGCTGCTGCCGATGACGATCACAGGCAGAACAAACACGGGCGAAAGAATAACAAAAGCATTTGCGCAAAAGCATTTTGAGGAAGCGGTTAAGCGGTCTGATTGTTGTTGCTGGTGGCGGGCCATCTACCATAGCAATAATGAGCTCACATAATACGGCTATAGTTTAATGGCCTAAACGTAGAAAATGTTGTCTGCCATGGTTGGAAGATGAGCGGTAGTTACCACGCAACAAAGCCGAAGAAAAGAAACGGAAAAGAAAAAAGAATTGGCGGAGATTCTTGGTTCTTGAGCTGTTTAGAAAGTTCTCTTGGCAGCAGGAATTATAGAAATGGCATTAAATTGCAAATCAGGTGAATGACATAAAATGGCAAGAGATTTGATAAAATGGACTCGAAACCGTTATTCCAGTACACATATACATACATATGTATGAAGACATAACTCTTTATCAGCAAATCACACGTTAAGAGAATTTCAGCTGTTAATGGCCATGGATTTGATTTTACGGCTTAGTGCCTCATTATTTAAATAAAATCTAGAATCGTGTTTGCTATTTAATTTTTATTTAATTTGCCTAAACATTTTCAAATTGTTCTAGGTCCAAATGTGACTTATTTAAATACCCATACAGATTTGAAACTCTGTACCCAATAATCGCTGCATTAACATTCAAATGACATTACAAAATTGTATTTCAAGAAATTATCTATTTATTTATTTGTTTGTTTTTTTTTTTTCAAATCCCAAACAGATGCGGTAGAACAAGTTTTCGCCTTATTAGAAATTTGAATTTTTAAACAGCTTATCAGCGAATTGATATGCAATATTTTTTTTCTAAACGGACTTTCAGTAATAAATTACTTATGATGCGTAAAAGTTATTTTTAGTATTTAATAAGAATTTTAAATCGTATATTTTATTTGCTTGAATTTTATAATTTTTAAAGGTCATTGTGGGGAGAGAGACCTATGCCCCATTTCTGAGCTGACCCATTTTCCATAATATTTTCGAAAGAATAAGTCGTATAGTAGTACTAAAAGTAAGTTGAAAGATGGATTGCTTGGGTACTAAAGTTCAGCCGGGAAGTGCTTTGAATACCCATGGAATAGGGTACGAATTTGGCAATTCTCAAAAACAATAAAATCCGTTAAAAATTTTGTTAAAATCTTAAAAATACCGAATGTAGCTGTTATATTAGGGTGCATAGGTGACATTTGTCATAAGCCATTACAATATTCAAATGCGAAACTTAAAGAAAAACGGTTATAATGTCGATAAAATCAAAATACAGAATATCGGGAGGTACCGTTATATGGGGACTATACGAAGACGTGGACCTACACAGACAATTTTCTGTCTTAGTATGTAGTATCTACTACGAACTTTAAATACCAAATTTGAAACAATTCCGATGAATAAATTCGCTAAAATCATAAAAATACCGAATATCGGGAGGTACCGTTATATGGGGGCTCTGCGAAGAAGTGGACCTGCACAAACAATTTTCTGTCTTAGGCTGTAGTATCCGTTAAGAATCCCGAATACAAAATTTGGAACAATTCCGGTGAATAATGTCGCTAGAATCATCAAAATACCGAATATCGGGAGGTACCCTTAGATGGGGGGCTATACCAAAACGTGGACCTACATGGTCCATTTTCAATACCAAAAGTCCTGCAGACATAACATATATTTAAGTACAATTTTATCAATCTACTTCAATTCAATTCGTTCGGAAGCTAGAGTGATTTTCACAGACGGACAGACGGATGGACAGCGCTAAATCGACATAGAATTTTATGCCGATCAAGAATATATATACTTTTGTGGGGTCTAAAGTGTGTATTTTGAGGTGTTACAAACGGAATGGCAAACTGAATATATACCCTCCATACTATGGTGGAGGGTATAAAAAGGTTCCGAAAATTTTATAAAGTACAAATTTTCTTTTGAGTATATTTGTGAAATTTTGAAACGGACCTTGTGAAACCGGCCTTTTTACATTTTGCAAGTTTCTTCCAAATGGTGGAGGGTATTAAAGGTTCTACACGGCCGAACTGTTTTTAGACTTGTTTGTGTATGAAAGTACAGGCCCATTATTATCTGATCGATACAAAACATTACATTTCGTAGATATAACCCCCATATATAACCTTGTCCGATTTTTATACCCCACACCAAATAGTGGCAAGGGTATTCTGCCTTTGTGAATTTGTTCGTAACATGGAGAAGGAAGCGAGAAAGACTTTTGAGGATCTTCATAGAATCACTTTCTAAGTCAATTTATGTCTGTCCGTCCATATATATCTTTAACCGATTTCGGGTTAATTGTGCTCGAAATGGCCTATGCCAGACCCAATTCAATCTAGAAGCAACTAGATCAAATTTGATGGACATTGGTTCAGAAATACATATAGCTCCCACGTATTGTTTCATTTGATGTGTAAGTCCCACACATTCGTAATATGCACTATAGAAATACCGTAATATGCCCAGAAATACCTCTGTCAAATGTTGTCGAGATCGGATCAGATATGGATATAGTCCTCCTATATGTCATTATTCTATATCAGGTTTATTGTGCACCAAATGGCAATTCCAACAGAATTCAGCCTAGAAGCAAGTACATCAAATTTGGTGAAAATCGATTCAGATCGCTTTCATCGGATGTGATGTTTAAATCCCTCACTTTCGATATATCTATATCACTTCATATATAGCTATAGTTCCCATATATATGTTTCATCCGATTTTATGTTAAAGTCCTTTACATATATGCACTCCACAACCGTGATATTTGATACCGGACGTCAGATACAACCCGAAAATACCTCTGGCAAATTTTATCGAAATCGGTTCCGATTTTTATAGCTTCGATATACATGTTCATGCGATTTTACTGCTATTGTTTACCGTACAGGGTACAAAAAACTGCAAACAACTTCAAACTGCTGTCATTTCCAAGCCACTCGTCCGAACACTGTTAAAATGATTCCAGTGACAGCTGATTATATTGTTTACAAGCGTGCAAAAGCATTTTGGTGAGAATTTTCCAGAAGAAAAGTAATTCGCTCTGGAATTCAAGCGGGATAGTGTGATTTCTTTATATTTGGCTGGAAAACCACAAGTGCCTACCGTTAGAGCACTCCAGCATTTAAATGTGAATAAATCTTTTGTGTCACGAACCATCGAATAAAGAAGCGACCTGATCGAAACCCCCGTGGCTCATGAGCGGGACATATGGCAATATTCTATTCGGCAAATATTGAAAAATCAAAAAGTGCAAGAACTTACACCGCAACATGAAAAACATACTCAAAAGAGCTAAAGAGTTGCTTCGCTTGGCCGAAAGTGGTGAACTGTCAAATTTGGTTTTCTCCGATGAGAAAACATTCGTTGTCCAGCAGTTTGTAAATAAACAAAATTTTTGTGTTTACTTGCCAAAGAGGTCAGCTGAAAATGTGCACCTTCGGTTGGCCACCGGAACTCAAGCGCCGGCCATGGTGATGGTGTGGGCCGCCATAACAGTCGATGGTCGCTCTCCGCTCGTATTAATCGACTGTGGCATCGGAATAAATGTCGAATATTATCGCGAAAATATTCTAAAGGGTGTATAAAAGCCTTGGGCACGCAAACATTTTGGCCGCAGACCTTGGACATTCCAACAGGACTCAGCACCATAGCACTCAGCAAAATCAAGATTGGTTAGAAAATGAGGTTTCTCACTTCATTTCCAGCGCACAATGGCCACCAAAATCTCCAGATACCAATCCGTTGGACTATTGTGTCTGGAGTATTTTGGAAAGCAAGGTTGGCACTAAAAAATACCAAAGGGTCGATCACTTCAAAATGTCAAAAATGTTGAAGAAGGGGATAACATGTCCCCCTTTTTTTAATTACGATGTAACATTGAAAACGGCGATACAAGTGTCTCCTATTTTTATATCCTCCACAATACATAGTATGGAGGGTACATCCGTTTGCTTCCCCCACTCGTCTGTCCATGCGTCTGTTGTAATCACGCTAAAGTCAAAACGAAGAAAGATAGGAAACTAAAATTTTGCACCGATCTGTCTTTTGTCTGCAGGCGGGTCAAGTTCGAAGATGGGCTACATCGGTTCACAATATCGTATATCCCCATAAAAATGTAACTCCCGATATTTGACATTTTTATGATTTTAGTTACATTTTTCAATGGAATTGGCTTAAAATCCACACAAGGAGCTCCTTCTGAGTACTTGACTCTCTGATAGAGAATTGTCTATATAGGTCCACCATATTATATATCCTCCATACAATGGTGCCCCCCGATATTCGATACTTTAATCATTTTAGCCACATTTTTCAATGGAATTGTCTGGAGATCCACACAAGGAGTTCCCTCTAAGTAATTTACCCACTGGAAGAGAATTGTCTATATAGGTCTACGATTTAGTATATCCCCTATATAATGCTAAACCGATATATTCGGTATTTCCATTTTCGCGACATTGTTCACATGAATTGCGATCGTATTTGAAGTTCGTAATGGGTACTACAACCTATGACGGAAAAAACTGATATTGCGTCAAATTTCGTATTTGACGTTCGGATCCTTACTACAACCAATGACTAAAACTTCTCATGCAGCACTACGTCTTCGTATAGACCCCATATAAAGGTTTTCATTTGAGCGGTATTTTTCGACGGAATTTTTTTTCGAGATTTTTCAAGTTCCTTCCGAATGGTGGAGGATATAAAAAGTTCGCCCCGACCGAACTTACCTGCTTTCTTCTTTTAAAATCTGCTGTATTTTTTCTGTAAATATTTTTTATGTTGCACAGCGTATTTATTACATTTGGGACTCTATATTATGCATTGCGTATACGTGTTAACATCACGTATACGTCACACAGAACTCTTTAAACCAATTTATTTCCAATAAAAAGTTTTTAATCCATAATTTATTACATTTTCCTCTCTTTTCAGATCATAAACAACAATAGTCAACAAATCACGTTTTGAGTTTACCAAACATCAGAATAGAGAAAAAACCAATTCCAAAATTTCGTAATTTAATACCCACCAAAAACAAAACAAAAAATATTGAGGCCAATAAAAAAAAAATAAAATAAAAAAACTCCAACCCAAAGACCTACTGTAATGCAACACAAAACGTCTCGTTTGGCGATTAACAAAATCAAAAGACGTTACCGCATGAGTCTGATTGAATTCAATGAGAACAAATTCATAGGGCTACAGCGACATTACCCACCACTGCAACCACGAGCGGAGGGCGCAAAAGCAGCAGCAGCTACAGCATCACTAGTCAAAGAACCACAAAAAAGGTGCTAAAAAGCCCAGCAAAATAAAACAACGATTGTCGGTTAAGTGATGCGAAAATTTTGAGATAAACATTTTGAGGGGTTTGGGGAAAAAATCGTAACGAGAAAAACCTTTGACGAGCGTTTGTTGAACTCCAGTGTTGTTGTTAGTCTATTAGGTTCGCCTGTCGGTCTGTCTGTCTCTCAGCTTCTCTGGTTAACCCAAATAAAATCAAATATTTTGCAATAACACAGATCGACAACAGCTAAAAAAAAAAAAACAAACCTAAAACGGAAAACGCCAACTGCTGTAACGGCAGTGAGAACGAAATCCAACAACAGCAACAACAACTACAAAGAAGAAATAAACACAACAACATTGCAACAAAAGTGCAATAACCCATCCGGGCAAATGAGGGTACTCGTCAATGTTGAATGACTGGGGGAGTAGCAGCCAAGAAGAAACTTTGAACGATCACCAAGCTGGCGAACAAAACAACATAAAATACTGCCAAGCGAGCACTCAAATAGAGCAATAAAAACAACAACAACAGAAACAAAAACAGTGCAACAGATCTGTAGAAAAAAAGAGTCTAAACAACGCAACTGAATAGAAAAGGCTCTGCTCTAGAGACTAGCTAGCGCATCAGCCAGCTAGCCAGCCAGCCAGAAAGCATTCGCATCAGCAATCGCATTTCTTTTAATTAATTTATGCATTTTTATGATTCTCTTGTTTGTAGAAAAGAAAACAACAACAATAATTTTCCAAAACGAAAACAAAGAACCGACCGAAAGAAAGGAAGTGGCTTTGTTTTAAATTTTACAAAAGAAAATATTTTGTTTTGTTTTTCGCAATTTTTTCTATTTGCATTCAATTATCTGAAAACACTCGAATTTTGTTTGGAAATTCAAGACATTTGTAATTATCACCAACTGCCGAAAACTGCCAAAAAAAAATTCTGATAATAAGAAAGATTTTTTTTCGTAGCTGTCATCACTCCTCTTTCATTACTGTGGCCTTTTGTTGTCCGCTGGGGGTGGTAATTATTCTTTCGTTACCATTCGAAATCAATCAGCCACCGCCAATTCATCAGCAAAAACAGGCACAGACGCTCACACACGCCGCCACACCAAAAGTAAGTATAATTTAATTTTCAAAAAATTATTTGTTTATTTTTTTTTTTTTTTTATTATTATTATTCCGTGTTCGTACGTCTGCATCTCCCACATAAATTATTATCAATATCCGTGTGGAGAATTAAACAGTGGTGGGCAAAAGTGGGCAACTTAGAATCTTAGAATAATTACACATAAATAATTACAAGGTAAACCTAATAGATTACGAAAATAGTGATAACCAAATATCAAAAATAGTCATATGATAGGATTATTTCAACAACCTCGATAGTAAAACCAAAAAACGAACCCAAAAAGTAGAAAATCGGTTCATTATGATGGTCGAAATTATAGATAATGATCAGCATAAAATTCTAAGTCGATATAACCATGTCCGTCTGTCTGTCTGTTGAAATCACGATACAGCCCACATTACTTGACGTAGAGATTCAAAATTTGGCAGAAGAATTTGTATTATGTCTAGGATGGCATTTGAAGTTCGCAACGGGTACTACAGCCTGTGACAGAAATTTGTCAGTTCAGGTCCACGTCATCGTCTCATATAACGGTACATCCCAATATTCGATATTTTGATGATATAAGCGACATTATTAACCGGAATTGTTTCAAATTTAGTATTTAAATTCGTAATGGATACTACAGCCCATGACAGAAAATTGTCAGTGCAGGTCCACGTCTTCATATAGCCCCCATATAACGATACCTCCCGATATTCGGTATTTTGATTATTTTAGCGACATTATTCACCGAAGTAGTTTCAAATTTGGTATTTGAAGTTCGTAACGGATACCACTTAGACAGAAAATTGTTTTTAGCTCCCATATAACGGCACCTCCTGATATTCGGTAATTTGATGATTTTAGGGACATTATTCACTAGAATTGTTTCAAATTTGGTATTTGAAGTTCGTAATGAATACTACAGTCTGTGACAGAAAATTGTATGTGCAGGACCACGTCTTCGCATAGACCCCATATAACGATACCTCCCGATATTCAGTACTTTGATGATTTTAGCGACATTATTTACCGTAATTGTTTCAAATTTGGTATTTGAAGTTCGTCATGAATACTACAGCAATGACAGAAAATTGTCGTTTTGGTATGGCCCCCATATAATGGTACCTCCCCATATCACCGATTTATATATTATTCACCGATTTTTTTTTTTTTTCAAATTTCGCACTTGAATATTATGATAAAAGTTGCCTATGCAGGCCCATGTCGTCGTAATTTTATCGGTTTTTATTTTTTGAAAATTGCCAAATTCGTTACAAATGGTGGAGGGTATTCAAGTTTCGGTCTGGCCGAATTTATAGCTTTTTTACTTGTTTTTAAAATTCGGAATTGCCAAATTCAGTCCACTTGGGTTGATATTAACCATTTGGTGCACAATAAATCTGATATCGGGAGATATATTCTAATCTGATCCGATCTCAAAGCATTTTTGAGCTCCATAAGTTATCTGGTACCAAATATCATTCGTGTGGAGTGCATATTAGGCATGTGAGGGACTCAAAACCTTAAATCGGATGAAATATATACATGCAAACTATAGCTATATCTTAACGGATTCTCACCAAATTTGATGTACTTGCTTCTAGACTGAATTCGGATGTGCCAAAATTCAGGTAATTTGGACTGATATTAGTCATTTGGTGCACAATTAACTCAAAATCGGTTAAAGATATATATGGGAGTTATATCTAAAGGATCGTCCTTGTGCCAAACAAATATTGTTTGGAAAATTTCATCTCAATCGGATAATAAATGCGATTTACATTTTATTCACAGAAATACATGGAAAGATGAACGGACTGACATGCATAAATCGACTAAGAAAGTGATTCCGTGAAGATCCTCAAAAGTAACTATGGGTCTATCTCGCTTCCTTCTCTATGTTAGACAAATGCACAAAAACATAATACCGTTACCTCTATGTGCTATAGGGTATAAATAAAAGTGAAAATCAAACTTATAGCTGGGAAGGTCCTTCGAAAATTGTTGTTAAACTAATTCGTTCTAAAAGAATACGAAAAATACTGCACATATGGAGGTGGTTTCAGCAATGTTTACTATTATTGTACGAAAAGTACTGAATGGTAGAATATTGGGTGAAGGGATAGGACTGGAATCCTTAGGTTGAAATTAAAATCTCTTTTGGTATCTGGAATGGTTTTAGAAATGTGTGCTAAAATGGTGCGAAGAATTGGTCTTTGGTAATAGAATGGAGCTGAAATCCTGAAATTTGATATTGGAGTATCTGGAACTCAGATATGGAGGTGGTTTCGGAAATGAGTACTATAATTCTTCGAAAAGTTCTAAGTGGTACAAAATTGGATATTGGATGAAGGGATATAGCTGGAATTCTAAAATTTCATATTGAGGTCTCTGTAGGTATCTGGGAATGAGATAAGGAAGTGGTTTGGATATTTGTACTATAATTGTACGAAAAAAAACAAATTTGGTATAGGGTGAAGGAATATAACTGAAATCCTGAAATTTGGTTTATAGGGTTTACATATGGAGTCGTTGAAATAGAAAAATTGGATGTGGGTCCATTGTGCAATGATGATGTAAATATGTCTTTGATATGCAATGGAAATAAAGGTTATGACGTGTAGTGAAATCTTATAAAAAATATTTTTTTCCTTGACGTCATCCTTTGACGTCAAATTATGCTTTGTAGGATATTTTTGCATTAAATCACATGAAGTACGGTTTTAACCCTAAAATTTAACCCGATACACATGTCTTCGGTGTTTTGCTCAACTTTCATAATCAATTGGATTATTCCTGTTTTTATTTTGTAGTGCATAGTTTTATAGACCATAAAACACTTGGAAAATCCATGATTATAGGTTTTGAATACCATGAAAAATTTTAAATCAACGATTATTTTTAGGTCAAGTATTCCCTGAAAATCTATTTAAAAAATCCATATTTACGAATATAATTTTGAAGATCTTGAAAAAAAATTAAAATAACATACGATTATCATTTAAAAAAAATGGGATCAAACCCACTAATTATTATGTCAATTCCTATTAAGTATCACCACGATTCCAACCCATTCTCAATGTTACGAAACATTGAATCAGTACTTTCTTTCTATTCAGACCAGGCTTCAAGTGCCACAACTTTTGCCACTCCCATCCAAAAATCAGAATTGACAAATTTATTATTCACACATTTTCGTGTTATTAAATAAAACAATTTACCGTTACTACTTGAAAAGTGTCCATTCTTTGTCGAGCTATCTTCTTTTATTGTGCAAATATAGCAAAAAGAGTACCGCTCAGAAACTTCTATAAAATCTTCATTTTTTGTCTTTTTTTAATCTCAAAATGTTTTGTTTATTTCATTTTCTTAACAGGAACAATGGAATTGAAAGAAATTTTTGTTGTTTGAGATTTTGAAAAAAAAAAAAAAAAAACAAAAAAAAACAAAACCTTTTTTGGAAAATTTTTAATTCGTGACTGAACATAATGAGACAACAAAGACTGCTGTGACTGCTTTGAATTATAAACGGGTGACTTTTTGCATAGAAATGAAGACTATATGCAAAACAAATAACTGTTCCAAAAGTGGTAAACGAAATGAGTATTTGAATATTTTGAAATATTTGAAAATATTTGTAGGGGGGTTTCCTAAAGTCTTTAATGGGGACTTTTAGGAATATTCTTAGAGGGACTTTTAAAATCATAAGTGTGGTTATTTTTAGAAATATTTTAAGGGGGAATATCAAAGCTTTTAACTCGGATTAGAAAAAAAATAGATTTTAATGTGGATTTTCCCCAATATTTCTAGAACTTCTAACGTAGATTTATTCAACTTGTAGAACTTTTAGAAAATATTTTTTAAATATTAATGGTAAAGCTTTTAACGTACATTTTTAAAGAATTTTTGCAGAGCTTTTAACGGGGACTTTCAAAGAATATTTATTGAACTTTTAAAGTGGATTTTTAAAGAAAACACATTTTGAGTAGATTTATGCATATCCGTCCGTCTGTCTGTGTATTTTTGTAAACAAAGAACAGATCGCGCTTATTGCCCGAACAAGATGGAACTTTGCACAAAACATTTGTTTTGTCCAAGGACGAACCCTATTGAAATTGGAAATAATCGGTCAACATTTAGATATAGCTTATTATGCACCAAATGGCTAAAACAGGACCGAATTTGGCACATATAACCCAATTGAGCCTAGAAACAAGTGTGTCAAATTTCGTAGAAATCGGTTCAGATATAGCTGTTGCTCTCATATATAATCTTCATCCTTCACAGCCGTAAAAAAGATATTCAAATACAGCTGAAAAATACATTTGGCAAATTTTATCGAGATCGGTTCAGATTTTTTTATTGTGACAATCAGCAGACTTTAAAAATTTTAAATAGTCTTTAAAAGACTTAAAGTAGATTTTATAGATTTTTTATAGGGCATTTTTATAGGCACTACTCAAAAATTGAACTAGATTTTTTTTTATAAATCTTTCAAAAAAAAAAAAAAAATTAAGGTTCTTTGAGAGCTTTTGAAGTGAATTTTTTTCAGAATATTTTCAAAAGTTCTCTGAATATCTTTAGAGTGGATTCTCACGAGTATCTTTAAAATGTTTATTCTCTTTATTTTTCTATTTTTGTATTGATCTCAAAAATGTGTTATTCCTCATTTTTTGCAATAGCTAAAAACACGCTTTCATATAAAAAATATATATAATTTTGATTGACGTATTTGTTGTACAACAAAATCGTCGTTCTCACGTGACAAAAAGAAGAAGCGGGAACCCAACCTGTCTACTTTACGTTTACTTTTCCGTCTTGCTGCCGTAGCACAACACATTTGCCTTTCTTCAATTCATTGTTGTTATTGCTGTTGTTGGTGTTCCACATTTTTGTTTCACTTGACATTTTTTCTCCCTCTCTCCCTCCTAAATTTGCATACATACCTATTTACTTTACTACAAAAATTTACAATAGCCGATTTTGATCTGGTTGAGGAA